AGTAGGGGTTCAAACTTAATGAATGTGTTAACCAGCTTTTTCATGTGTTTGGTGATATAAAAGTCGCATAAAAAGATAATGTACGCGTTTGTTTGAATCACTTTTGTGAATAAAATCAATATGCGTGATGCCAACCAACCTTGCTTTTGTTCTTAAACACCTCTAAATGATCTTTTTGAACAAAAGTTGTTTAGGGTTTGTTTTGGAAAAATGTGAAGAAAATTATTAAAAATGCTCAAAAAGCCTAATTTGTTTAATTGCTTAATAGCCTTTTGAGAACTAAATAAATAATTATTTTATAAAAACTGTAAAACATGTTGGTGTGAAAAGCTTAGTTTAAGTTATGAACTTTGTGGTAGGGGTGTTTATTTGTGCCTAGTTTGTGTGTTTCATAGATTAATTAGCGCTCTAAGCCCGGTTTGTTCACCGCCGCTGCTAGTTTGATGCTCCACGTTCTCCGCTGTTTGCTATGCAACTAGTGTTGGGGAAAAAAATAAAAGTTGGGGTTTGAACATAGAGGAAGAGCTCTGCAAAGTTTGGTGTGTGTTGGTTACAGGTTGGACCTTCAGAATAGCAGTCAAACAGGGGCAGTTCGGAGTTTTTGTTCAGAATTCTTGAACCTTGTTGGTAGCCTGACATACCAAAGTTTGAGCACGTTTATCTCCTACTAATCCTTCATGCTAATGACCTTGGTCCCGTGATAAGTGTGGAAGTTTAGCCGGAGGTTAAGATCTTTTGCTACCGTAGCCGGCTTCGAATCTGGACGGAATATGCCGAAACAGTGAGGTCAAGGGGAGCAAATGGCACTGCCCACGCCCTTACCCTGCTCTGCCGTCGCCCACGCCCTGCTCTGTGCGCGCACAGGGGCGCCCACGCCGCCCATGACGCCCTGTGCTACCGCGCGTTTAAGGGGGGGCGCCGCGCTGCTTGCTCTCCCTCGCTCTGCTCTTGCCGGCGTAAGGCTCGCCATGGCCGCCAGAGCCCCTGCTGCCGCCGCCGGCCGTTCCCGCCTCTACGGTCCGCCTCCGCCCCGACCAAGCGCACCCTCGCGTTCGCCACAACCTCCCCGCTCCCATCGGCTCGCTCTCCGGGCCAAGCCACGCCAAGGACCCCGCCCGTCGCGGCTACTGCTGTCTGCCACCGCGGCGGATGATGCCGCCTCCGCGGCCGTGCTCCTGCGGGCCTCGGCCGGGCGTGCTGCGGCCGCCTGCGCGTGTGACCAGATCTGCCGTCGCCCCCACGCACCACCGTCGTCGTCACCCGGCTCACCCCTTGCCGGAACGACGGGCGCCGCCGCTCGTGGCCCCGTCCTTGCGCACCCCTACAGCCGCGTCCAGGGCCACCGCTGCTCTCGCGCACCCCGCCGGCCTGCTGGACGCTGCCGCCGAGCCCTCCGCGGCCCTCCTCTGCTCGGTGAAGACGGGGAAGAAGAAGAGAAGGAATAGAAGTTTTTCCAGGATTCCCAATGTAAATCTCGTCACTCAAATGAAATGAATAGTGCTGCATAGTGTTTTTCTTTTTCCCTTTTTAATAAATCGGCTGAAACTTTAGAAAATAATAGTAATTCGTAGAAAAATACTAAAATGGCAAACCCAGTTTTGTTGAGCTCCACATAAGTAGATCTGTGCAGTAGATACATAATAATATGACATGTTTAAGTAGAAAAGTTTGGATATAGATGGTTGCCTATGCTTTTTAGTGCTAAATTCATATCTGTAGTTATGCGAATCCAAATGCAGTAGAATTTTTATGGTACACTAGTGTTGATGTGTGTGTTCTATGGTAAAAGTTTCATATGCAGATGATGCGTAGTTTCTGAGTTATTGATTTATATTGTAATAGACTTGTTTAATAATTTTAAAGTAGTTAAAAATGCATAAAAATGGAAAAATTGTGTCTTCTATGTTTTATAACTGTTATTATGTCCTATGAACCCATGATATGGCTCTGGTGTCTAATAAAATATTAAGTTATAGATTTATCTTGGTGTCACATGCTTGATTAGAATTAAATCTTGATTAACTTGTTGTTATTAAATTCTTCTTCCAAAAATTATGATATTCACACAGTAGCTATGTTTAGTTGCGATGAACCTACAATCGATAAAAAATTTCGTCTCTAGAATAGATGTTTGAACCATCACATTTTTATTCGGTGTTTATGCTTAAATAAGTAATTAGCTTTAATATGTGATTCACCTTTTGTTTGCAACATGTTTGCTATGTTGTTTGTACCTCACGTGAGCTAGGTGAAGTGTTACGCATCTCTGTTTGGTAGTATTTATATGCTTAGCATGTTGTTTTGTATTGCATTTACGTGTTTAAATATAATAATCGTCTCACTAGAAGGTCTCTGCGGGAAGATATGAGAGTTGACCTAAGCACGATGACTACTCTCGTTCACCCTTTAACACGTGTTGTTTGTCCTTCGTGTTTGTAAATGTCTTCGTTATGCCAGTGTCACTTAAGCATGCATTGCATTTGCATATCATTTAGGAGCGATGATAAATGGATGGATCAACTGAAGGATGTTGGTGTCAAGCGGGAAGATGGTGTATTGGTGACCGAGTACAGAAGATGGAGATGGTCGGATCATGTCCCAAAGATGGAAGAATACTAACTTAGTAGAGTACAAGTTACCTAGGCAAGCCCCGGTGCATAACCTATTGATTTAAAACACTTTTTTTGTTTATGCTGCATTAGGTGTAGGAGTTGATTGGAATCTACATGCATAAATATCCTGACCTATGAGTCCTACTAGCTAATAGGCTCGAGTAGCTGCTTTTGCTTAGGGACTCGGTAGATGTGAGCGACCTGCTGTTGCTTGCAATAGGTCCACACTTTCTTATCTCATAACTGGAGTTGGGAGGATAATAACTTGAGACCGAGCGGGACATAGTGTTGGTGAGGCAACACGACATGGAGGTTTTGGGTGCGCTTTTAGTCCCGCCTGTGTCGATTAAGGACCATACCGAAAGGTGGGCAATATTGGACATGTCGAAAGTACCAAACACATATTAGAATCCAGGGCTTATTGTTGATCCGAGAAGACCTAGGTACCTCTCTTGACCTAAGTGCCGGGCTTACACTAGTCGATTAGGCTAGGGCGGCGCAGATGGTTGAGGGTCAAGGCCGCAGAATTGCGGCGGGGTTGTAGTGTGCTGGGGTTGTTGACTCTCTCGGTTGGTCGAGTAGGTTCAGACTTAGTAAGCAAATTAGGTAAGGGCTAGTCTTGCATGGGCTAGTGTCCGTGCAAGGCGTGTGTTTAGCGTTACCCAGCTGGATGTACATCGATTCGAATCACCGCAAGTCTCTCTCGGATATGAGAACCTTGATCCTTTCCCCACCATCGTAGTAACAACTTGAACATGGAGGATGATGGAGAAGAGGATGAACATGGACACTATTCTATTGCTTACCACATGCTTGAAAGTACATCAGGCACTTACATAGAATGGTTATTAGTTAATGAACCTAATCTTGACTGCTAAAACTTGAACATAAGGATGCACTATTTGTAAGCTTCTTGGCAAAAATAACTTAAAAATGTGGTATTCGAGTTCTCCCGTTGTAAGTTTTATTCACTTCTTTATGATCCTGATGAAAATGTGGTATTCGAGTTCTCCCGTTGGGTGTACTCGACAAACTACCGGGTTTAACTTGGTCTATTGTGTATTTACTGTCAAACGGCTGACAAGTACACTTGGGATTAGGTTAAATGGGGTGGTTCTACCACAAAACTTATCAACAAACTTCTAATATTTATGTCTTGTAAGATTATAGTCCGGGCAGGAGAACGAGTTGATGTGCTAGTTAGAAAAATTACGCTTACCCCAAAAATATTAGGCTTCTCCTTACTTCCGGTTACCAGCTCTCTAATTATGACACCCAAACTATATATGTCACTATAGATGTCTCTCTTATGTGGCGGTAGCACGTCAGTGCATTCTGGAGCAGAATATCCTCTGCATAAGACAGAACCCATTATGACATGATAATAAAGAAATTAAAAAATTACCATAGAGCAAAAGAAGAAATGTGCCCCGCTCCAAATATCAAATTGCTCCCGCCCCATCCCCACCACACACACACACAAACAGCCTTTAAATTGCCTAGAGTTCCAGCATCTGATGGCTCGCACCTTCTACACTCCGAGCCAATCTCATCATTGGCTCTACATTTGAGTTTTAGGATGTCAAAAATTTAGGAAAGATAGAAATTTTGGCTGATTAGTGACTCAGAAACCTAGAGACACTCCCGTGATTCAACCTGGTCTGTCCTGACAAAATTCATTGAGCGTCCCTAACTGTCTCATTGAAATCATACCTTTTTACCCACCTTTGTGTGCCTGTTAATTAACCTTTGGAATGCCAAAGTGAATTTTTCATGAAACACTTGTGGAAGGAAGAGTGATGTTTTAAGGAACTTACCCCCATTGAAGACTTCTATCACTCACAGTTATGAGTTCTGATATACCAAAACCTGTAATCTTTGGAACCATGCGATCATCTAGTAGTATATTGGATGGTTTGAGATCCATGTGAATAATATGCTTTTCCTTGTGAAGATAACATAAACCCTGACATATTCCCTTAATTATCTGAAAACGTGTATCCCAATGAAGTCCCCTTAATTCATCTGCAAAAGTAATATAAAAAGAGTATGATGGAGTGCGTTATCTTCCAATATTTGCTTTATGCTTGCTAAATTGCATGTATACCAAATGATGGGACATTTCTATTTTTTTTCAGTTCACTTCGATTGAATTGAAATAAAATGAAACAAAACAAAAAAAGGGCGTACCCAGTGCAGAGAGCTCCCGCTCTGTGCGGGGTCTGGGGAAGGGTGTCTGTGGCAAGCCTTACCCTTGCCTGTGCAATGCGAGTAGACTGCGACTTGAACCCGGGACATTCCGGTCACAGGCGGTAAGACTCTACCGCTTGCACCAGGCCCGCCCTTCGAAACAAAACAATAGTACAAAAATGAAAAAAATACACATGCCTAGGTATTGCTAAGTTTTTTTATTGTACCAGAAATATGCTTCTTTAGGCTGCCATTGCTTAGATACTCAAAACAAAGCAACCTTTCTCTTATCTCCGTGTTGGTAGTTTTCCCATGTATTGATGCCTCTTCTTTTGCAGCATAAGAACAGTTGCCTAGAAATCGTACTATGTTTTGGTGCTGAGCCGTCATTGTGATTTTAACCTCCCCATGAAACATCCTATCATTAATTTTGAGGCTCCCAGAAAGCCTTACTACAGCAACAACCTGCAGAATGCCCTGTTTAACTTGACTTATTAGCATGACCATGAGCCTTAGCCCTTAGAATAAAGTTCAGCTTTGTTGTGACGAAACATGAAAGAGAATCAATGGAAGTTAATATTACCTTGAAAAAATCTCCAAATTCATTATTACCCATCTTTCGCTCAACAGAAAAATTTTTAGTCATGAACTGTAGAAGTGAATATGATAGATTGTTGGGCTTCTGCCTCCCCTCAAGTATATGCTCCAGGGCATTAAGATCTTCATATATAGCAACCAATCTAAGTAAACAACATACTTTAAAATTAGAGGAACTTGTCTTTTCAATCTGGGACTGAACTCAAGTGTAAATACTAGATTGTTTGGAAGCGACCCCATAATTCAAGTAGCACTAAAGTTATACTATTTAATATTTATATGCTGTATTCTTTTAGAAGTGACCTTGCTTTGATGTTATGTTGTGTCCATTGAGGCACACAATAAGCATTGATATGAAAATTTAAATTCAACCCTGATTCAGCTTCCAAACATCAATTGCATGGGACTATGGGCCATATCTGGTCATTTAGATTGTCAAACCAATTCGTGGCATGACATGTCTCAAAGAAATTATTGGAAATGCAGGGCTTACATTGCCAGGTTCTCGATAAAAACTGCAAAAAGAAAAGGGTAATTGGGATTACTTGTGGGGTTGGGTACTATGTATGCTTAGGTTCTCCAGGAAATTAGGAGGGAGGGAAGGGAGGAAACTGGATAAATGATTACCTCCCCCCAACAAACAGACACCTCTTTTTTCCATGACAGTATGATAATTTGGAGAAAAATAAAAAAATAAAGGCTGCGCCTGTGGGGATTTACTTATAATTTACTACCTGGAATGCTCATTGATAGTTCGTTCAGGCAGCGCACGGAATCTTTGCACCACCTATGATTCAGAATATAATCAACAACTTTCAGTATAAAATTAGGATACAAGAAATACAATCGAAATAAACATACTCAGTAACTTCTGAAGAGCACGCACGCACGCTGTTAGGTCTAACATCGAACCGGCAGTTATCCTTATCCTATTACTGCTGGTTCTGTCAATGAACAGGCAGTGATATCGTACTATCAATACAGGATGAAGAACCGGCAATGATATGCGAGCACCTCACTGTCGTTTGCCCTCTGTCAGACCCAATTCTGGTAGAGATGCTGGTTTTTGACCCGGCAGTAATCCTCTCCTAGAGTAGTGACATACAAGAATCACACACAAGACGTAGCATATTACTTCTCAACAAACATGTGTATAGATCTATTTGCTATGTGCTCTTGTTCCTACATCCCCTAGCATAGGCGAGGTTCAGGTGTATTCCCAGATCATTGTACATTATCTAATCGTTGACACTTAGGTATTTAAGTTTTCAGTTTCCTCTATGAAGATTTTAGGTGGATACACAAATACACCAGTTGAGGCCTTGTTTGGATGCGCATGTATTCATCTCAATCCACATGTGTTGAAGTGGATTGGGGTTCCATTCCACCCCAATCCACTTCAACACATGCGGATTGAGGTGGATACAAATGCATCCAAAAAGGCCTTGAGTGGATTATGCACAGGATAGATCCACATGTAAATTCTGACATAAAAAGATACGTCACTGCATATTTTACTTGAATGAATATACCTGGTACAATGAAGACATTGGGTCATTTCTTGGCTCAGTATTAATAGACGGAGGAATCATTTGAATCATAGTTTCTGTCTCATCTAGCATAAGTATTATGTTATGTATAGTAGGTCTGCTATGTGGGTCATGGTCACAACAACTCCGTGCTATTTCAATGCATTTCTTCAGTAGTTTGCAGTCTCCATCTAATGATTCATGCCACTGCAAAGTTCAAACATATAGTAAGGATGACAGCATCTGTATGTTGTAAAAGAGAAAGTATACTCAATATATGCCACTACAGATATTCGATAGGACCTTCAAGAATCTCCACAACTGGATTAGTAAATAAATGTTCAAAAGGTAATATATACCATTTAAAGGTGTCCATAAGATGTGCAGCGAAACTGTACTGACTCGGATCTGACCAAATATACAAGAGACTGAACGCTACGGTATAGAAATGTATGTGTAAATTTGTGATAAGACATATTTCCATTATTTGACTTTGATTGACACATCCCTTGACACCCATTGCCTATATGAACGAATAGCTGCCTGGTGTTCATTCTTGAAGAGCCGCATCCGCTTGTACCAGGTTATGGCTGCACTTCAGGTGAAAACAGTAGGCATTGCCATTCAGGTTTTTTAACTCACTAAGACACTAACGCTAAAGTAAACAATGAACTACAACTTAGCGATCTTTGTCAATCTAATATGGCCGCTTGTTACCTTCTCTGGACACTCCCATGTTGAGCCACATTCTCCATTACACAGCTTTGCTGTCCCCAACCTACCTAGCATCACCCTTCCCCTTCTCGAACTCTCTGCCGCCATGTGTTGTCCTGGACAGCTGAAAATTAAACTCGTGTTGCATAAAACCAGGCACACCGCCAAGGTGACTGCTCGTGCCATGGTGGAGGCTATGTTTCTATGTCTATGCAATCAACCATTGTAAAGCTAATGTACACGCTTTTCTGCTGCCACCATAGACCATTGACCCTGGAATCCAACTATGGTTGTTTTACTCTAGCTTTTTTTTTTCTTTTTTCTGTTGTGATCGAGTCATTGCAAACTTGAGATTCAGCTGAAAGAAATTTTGAGAAACATTACCATTTATCAGCCAAAATATTTATGTGAGTTCAAACTTCAGAGTTTTATCTTGTTTAGGAAACAAGGAACTAATCCATTTTCTTAAAAAAAAGGAAACATAGAACGGAACGGAACGTCAAACTCCTGTTTGGCTTAACTTATAACCAATTACTTTTGCACAGTTAAGATTGACCGCAACCCGCTACCATTCCTTCGCCAACAGAAAACACACAATAAAACCTATAAGAAGCTTTTCACTACTCCTTGTATAGGATATTCTTTATAGTGATATAGTAACGAATTCCAAGCTTGATGTAAAAAATGTGCTAGGAAGGTAAGCAATGTAAATATCCTTACATTTTCAGTAGGAGTTTCATCACTCTGGGTAAGTATTTTTATCATGATAATGCCCAAACTGAATATATCGGTCTTGCAAGATATTTGTTGATTATCTATTAGTTCTGGTGCCATATAACCCCTGCAGCAAGGATTATAGCATAAAGCAGTTTTTCACAAATTAGGTACCAAGGAAAAGATTGTGGTGCCCAGAGGACGAGCTTACGGTGTTCCACCAACATTTGTAGTGAATATTGTGGACTGTTTTCCATCAATGCACCTTGACAGACCAAAATCGGTAATTTTTGGCTCCATCTTAGCACCCAGAAGCACATTTGCAGGTTTGAGATCCAAATGATAAATGTGTTCTTGATGAAGATAACCCAAACCCTGACAAATCCCCTTAATTATTTGATAACGCATATTCCATTCATATCCATGAGTTTTTTCTGTAGAAGTGAAGAACAGCACAAAAGTAATGAATTTGTTGGTTGAATATTGACAAAATAGAAGGTTTCACTGTGATGAAGCTTTCAAAATCATAAGACTTAAACAATAATCACTACAAGTAAATTTAGTTAGTTTATACACACCTTTTATTGTATTAATAAAAAAAAATTTGAGATCCAAATTGGAATCCCGTGTAGGTTAGATGGTTTGAGCAGTTGCTTGAATATTTTGAGAAACGATTTGAAAGGAATGGAATTGATATGATAAGACATTGAATTAGCTACATCTTTTTTTCACGATCATGCTCATGCATGAAATTGGCTACATCTCACATGCTAGGTGAATGGATTGCTGATGCGGTGAGGTAAATAGAGTATACTCCATCCATCCCAAAGTGTGCAATTCTCACTTTTTGATGAGCCAAACAATTATAGGTTCGAATCAATTTATACAGAAAACACTAACATTTGTGATACCCATTAGATTAACCATAGAATATATTTTCATAGCAAATCTATTTACACTAAATGTTGATATTATTTCATATAAACTTAGTCAAACTTAAGAAAATTTGACTTTGTTCAAATCTAGAATTGCATTCGTTTTGGGATGGAGTGAGTACATGGAGATGAATAGAGTAGCAAATTTATACCTTTTAGGTAATGCTGAAGATTCCCATTTGGTGCATACTCAAAGCCGAGGAACTTTTTATGTGCCTCATCGACAATCATGGCTTCTCCTTTTATTTCCATCACTTCTCCTAGTGTATATGCACAATAGCCCAAAAGCCTTACAATATTTTTGTGTTTTACCTTCCTTAAACAATTAAATTCGTCCAAAAATAGCTTGTTAGAAAAATCGTTCCATGTGGAAAGCTTTTTTACAGCAACCATCCCATTTTGCAGACTTCCCTGTTTAACATTCCCGGCCTCCAAGCATTACATATTTGCTCTGTTCAGACAATTATATGGAAGATTACTGTTGGGGAGGCAAATAGGAAGTACCAGCATACCAAGTAAACTACTCCAGACCCACCAGTACCAATCTCTTGAGAAATTTTTTTTGTAATCAGTTCTATGAGTGTATATGATATTTTGACGGGTTTTGTGCTTGCATCACTAAGTATGCGCTCCAGGTCTTCAACTTTGTTTGCTTGATCACTAATTTCTGTAAGACACAATATACAGTTGAATAAGACTGGCCACATTTTTTTTCCTTTTCCAGGCAAAAAGCATATTTGTTGAAGAATGTATGACTTTTCAGATAAATAAATCATAATCTTGAAGAAGAAAAATTGGTAATAATTAGTAAATAGAACCATGCTTGCATGATGTTGCTCTAAGTATCTTCTCATTGTGTAGCAGATGATCTAAAAGAAAATATATATGGCCTTTTACTTGTTTGCATCCAAAAAAAAGTCTGAATGACCTTGTTTCTTACTTATCTTTCATATGAAGATGTATGATCTAGATTATTGTGACTTGTTCTCATTTATAGTACTATGTTGTAGGTTGTTCCACGTATCTAAGGTGCATTCTTACTAATTGATCAGAGTCCATTGGTAGAGAGATTATGTGATCATACCTTTAAAGTTTGATTGAGATGTCACCTCATGTGTCCTTTGGTTTGGCACAAACAATGTTGTAATGCGCTTAAGCATTCGTCCTGTCATAATGCAACGGACAGTGGCTTGTCCCTGGTACTCTTAAACAGAAGATAATGTGGTGATATTGGTCTGTGTTCGAGAAAAAAAATGTGATGATATGGATCACCTTTGCTTTTTCTTTGGGGTTCTTATTTTGATAGGGATAGTCAATGGAAGTGCATCCTCTAAAAAATTGCGTTAAAAAAAGTGCATCCTCTAAAAATTTAAATAGAGTTCACTTGATGTGGCCTATCTAAATAGGTCAGTAGATGTCAGTGAACAAACTTATGGAAGTTCAACCAGTCAAATATTTAAAACAGAAGTATTTCCAAATACATGGAACCTATTATGGAAAGGGGGTAATGTGCCAAATAGATATGTACTTGTTAAAATGTCTAGAATAATTGTATTCACAGCAGCATACGAAAGGAGCACCCTTCTCTGTAAGTCTCATCATCGGCTTTGCAATACTAGAGAAATCCTGCACAAAACGCCGATAATAGCCAGCAAGACCAAGAAAACTGCGAATCTCAGTCACTATAAGGTCTCTGCCAATTAACAACACTAGCAACATTCTTAGAATCAACTGAAATGCCATGCCGATTAATAACATGACCGAGAACTTATCAAATGGGCAGTGAAGAAAATAGACCGAATTCGAAGAAATTTCCTCTGGAAAGGTTCAGAGGATGCACGAGGAGGCCATTGCCTAGTCAATTGGAGGAGAACCTGCCGCTCAAAAGTCTTAGGAGGCCATGGAATCAAGGATCTGCAAAAATCCAATAGAGCATTGCGCTTAAAGTGGTTGTGGCTAAAGTGGCGGGATCCTGACAAGCCTTAGACAGGGGTTCAAAATCCACACAACCCCAGCGGAAACAGAGATATTTAGGACATGTACCTCAGTCTCTGTAGGCGATGGACTGCGTGCAAATTTTTGGCATGATAGATGGATGGATGGAACTGCACCAAAGCAAATTGCACCTCTATGTTTCAAATTGGCTAGCTAGACGGAAAAATTTAACAGTGGCCCAAGCATTGGCAGGGAATCTATGGATGCGGGGTCTGCGACATGTGTCCACTGATCGAGGGTTAAGGCAGTATGTGTCACTTTGGCAAGCTTTGCAGCAAAAATACTGTACCGTCTGCTGTGAATCGCCAATTGATCTGATCTGGCCGGTCATCTATACTTTGGCAAGCTTTGCCAAAGTGACCGGCCAGATCAATTGGCGATTCACAGCAGATGGAAACTACACTGTCAAATCAGCCTACAATGTTCAGATCATTGGCTCATTCCCTGATCATGATTGGGAGAAAGTATGGAAGGCAAAGGTTGAACCAAAGTGTAGATTTTTCTGATGGTTGCTGCTCCAAAGAAAGATGTTGACTTCCAACAAGATCATACGGCAAGGCGGCCAAGTAGAGCCTATCTGCAAGCTATGCACAGCAGAAATTGAATCGCCTAAGCACCTGGTGGCTGATTATTCATTTTCACGCACGGTCTGGTCATTACTAGCCCAGAAGTTTAACCTTCCAATGACAAATCAAACCACAACGAGCACAAAGATCAAGAAATGGTGGTCTGCAATGATTGGAACAGACACATCAACGACAGCTACAAACCGAACCCAACTGTTCAGTCACGCTGTTTGGAACCTGTGGAAAGAGTGCTGCAGGAGAGTCTTCGATAACAAAACACAAACGCCAATACAGGTAGCAAGCTTAATTCAACAAGACATTCTGCTATATGCCATGGCGCATGACCCAGAACATGTAAATAGCTAGTCTGCAACAGAGCCAAAGTTTCAGACTGCATCTGTAGTGCAGTTTTCTCTTTTTAGCTTATTCAGTTTTCATTTCTCTGTTAGCTGGGAACTTTTAACCAGCATGTAAACCTGTTGTACATGTTCCTTTTCACCTCTACTTAATTCAAAGGCAGAGCACCTGCTGTTTCATGCTTAAAAAAAAGTAATTTTTGAAGTTTCCTTACGGAAAAGAGCCTTGTGCATGCAGTAGCCTTTTGGAAGTTTGGAACAAAAGATTCTTTACGAAACTTTGAGGATTTCATAAGTTCATGTAAAACCTCGTACTACCTGAAAGGCTGAAAGGGGACTTTACCTTTTAGATGTTGCTAGACGTTAATAGAAGATTTGAAGCTCACTCTCGAAAGAGCCCCATGTGAGCATTTACTTTAATTGATTCATTCAAAGAACGAGTATTTCATCTATACTGTAGATCTGTTAAGTGTTAGATTGATCTCTAACCTAACTGGACCCAACAGCCCAGTTAGGCCTTTGATTCGCGCCCTGATCGGGGG